GAGGGGACCCAGCTTATGTTTTGGTAACCAAGTGCTTTGCTCCCACCCGAACACTCCTGTCTCTTGGAGTCAGCTGACAAACTGCTCCCCAGGAGGTCCTGGGAACGTTAGGGAAAACTTGGTCTGTTTTACATGACAGACTTTGTCTTGTTTAGGGCACCTGGAGCATTCCTGGCTTTGGCTTCATGCACGCCTGGTCAAATGGCCCATTTATGGAATGGCCTTTAAGTGGCCATGAGCAGCCACTAAGCATCTCCTGCTTTTCTGTTTTCCTGCAGTTTTTGTCCACTGCTTTCCTCCTGCCCTTCTTTTTCTGGCCACAGCCCCACTCCAGCTTACCTCACAGGATCACCTGTCCCTCTGGAGTCTTCCCAGCGCTAATCCAGCCAGTTGTAGGGCTGCTCCCTCTAGGCAGAGTCTGACTGCTGTCTGGGCACCTCTTCACAGGGACAGGCAGCACCTTGCCTGCAGCATATTAGTGATTATCCAGGGGAGGTGTGACCCACAGGCTGGGAATGTCAACCAGGAGGTGAATGCGTTGGTATGGAAGGGCTGATGTTTGATCTGTCATCCTCAGCTACATCAGGTCTTGGTTCAACTCCAAGCAGGAGAAAAGGAGCAGGATTTCCCCGCTGCACCGATCCAGGTCTCCATCAGTGTGCAGCTTTGGAGGCTGCCTGGCTGCCATGAGTTTCTGGCAGCCTTAGGTAGGAAGATGTTTCCTTGTTTATTGCTGCTCTCTGGTGTGTCCATCTGACACCTTACACTTCACAAGCACATTCACTGCGTACTTTGTTGGGCATGTAGAAGATGATGGCCAGGCTGCTCATTACTTGGCCAATGGCTCCTTCTCTGGTTACTGTGAGCATGTTTGCTGCCTAGAGAACCAACCTTCCTTCCTCCTCTCCCTCCCAGCAGGACCCAGGTTATGTTGTCTTCAATTGGCAAACTCTGATTTATTTTAAGAGCAGTCCAGTTTTTCATTGGCCTCTCACGCTGGCAAGGGTATGCAAGTAGGAGAGGGGATAGCTCAGTGGTTTGAGCACTGGCCTTCTAAAGCCAGGGTTGTGAGTTCAGTCCTTGAGAGGGCCATTTAGGGGTCTGGGGCAAATCTGTCAGGGATGGTGCTTGGTCCTGCTGTGAGGGCAGGGGACTGGACTTGATGGCCTCTCAAGGTTCCTTCCAGCTTTATGAGATATGTTTAGGTATATCTCCATATATTATATTATAGATAGCTAATGAAAGGGTACCACTGTCAGGAAATGAAGTGGAGAGAAGACAAAATTAAGGCATCGCCTCCCCGTCTTCCCTTCAGTCTCATCCTTCCATACATCAGCTTCTTGTAGCTTCTCTGGACTGTCCCAAACTCTCCCTAAATAGAGCCCAGGGCCATTGCCTTCCCCGTAGAACCACTGCTGCTACCACCCCCCTAAGCAATCAGCTAGTGATGGCCAAAGGGGCTCATGGGGGGAAGGGTAGCTCAGTGGTTTGAGCACTGGCCTGCTAAAGCCAGGGTTATGAGCTCAATCCCTGAGGGGGCCATTTAGGGGGTCTCGGGCAAATCTGTCAGGGATGGTGCTTGGTCCTGCTGTGAGGGCAGAGGACTGGGGCTCCATGACCTCTCAAGGTCCCCTCCAGTTCTATGAGATAGGCATATCTCCATATATTATAGGGCAAAACTGGTACTGACTCTGTTTATAGATACCAGGGAAACATTTGCTAATATGTGTATCTAACACAGAGAAAAGCAGCTCAGCTGAGCTCCTCAGGGCAGGGCCTGTCTCTGCCCATGTGTTTGTACAGCACCAAGCACAATAAAACCCCAGTTGAGAGTGGGACTTACTGGAATAGACATATAAATGCTAACAGGGCAACCACAGCACATTGGCACAGATGAGAAAGCACCAAGTGAGGCCACTGCAAGCTCCTGGTGTCTCTTTGCTTCATAAGAGTTGTCCTAGGGCTGTCAAGTGATTAAAAAAATGAATCGCAATTAATCACACTGTTAAGCAATAATACAATAATGTTTTCTACATTTTCAAATATATTAATTTAAATTACAACACAGAATTGAAAGTACACAGGGCTCACTTTATATTTGATTACAAATACTTGCTGCATAAAAGGCAAAATACTATTTTTTCTTTCCCCCCATTGCAAGTTTTAGTGTAGACGTAGAATTCCACTCTGCTTCTCGTTCAGCTAGTTGCTGAGTCATACTAGTTTGTTTACATTTGCAGGAGAGAATGCTGCCCACTTCCTGTTCACAATGTCACCTGAAAATGAAAACAGGTGTTTACATGACACAGTTGTAGCCAGCATGGCAAGATATTTACGTGCCAGATGTGCTAAAGATTCATATGTCCCTTTATGCTTGCACCACCATTCCATGGCACATGTGTCCATGCTGACGATGGGTTCTGCCCTGTCACAAGCAAAGCAGAGCAGACTGACATGTGTTCATTTTCATCTCAGAGTCAGATGCCACTAGCAGTAGATTTGATTTTCTTTTCTGGTGATTCGGGTTCCCTTATCAGAGTATTGCCCTTTTAAGGCCTCTAAAAGGACGCTCCATATGTCCTCCCTCTCAGATTTTGTAAGGCACTTCAGATTCTTAAAACTTGTGTCAAATACTATACCTGTCTTTAAAAATCTCACAGTGGTACCTTCTTTTCATTTTGTCAAATCTGCAGAGAAAGTTTTCTTAAAACATGTTCTGGGACATCCCCTGAGATTGCTTTATCATTAAATATCTAGCAGAATGTGGATAAACAGAGCAAGAGACATACAGTTCTCCCCCCAGGGAATTCAGTCACAGATTTAATTAACACAATATTTTTTAACAAGTGGCATCAGCATGGCAGCATGTCCTCTGGAATGGTAGCCAAAGTACAAAGGGGCATACGAATGTTTAGCATATCTGGCTCATCAGTCCCTTCAAAAATTGGCTAAAAAATGCCATGCAAATGCTTGTTCTCACCTTCAGGTAACATTGTAAATAAGAAGACAACAGAATTATCTATTGTACATTAGGGACGTTGAATTTTGATTAATGAGCTAATCAGGTAGTCGATGGAATTTCTATCATGGAACTGTGGCACTTCTGCCTTTGAAATGTAGCAAAAGTCAGATACAGAGGCAGTGGCGGGGGAGAAGGAAGAGATAAGCGACAAGTCGTGTATTGACTCGACTAATTGCTTACATCTTCTATTATAAATATCAACAACACTTTGTTAGTGTTAGCGATTGGCTGGTCAAAAAGTAGGACTGAGTAAACTTGTAGGCTCTAAAGTTTCAGATTATTTTGTTTTTGAATGCAGCTCGGCAACAACAACAAAATCTACATTTGTAAGTTAAATAATAATTGAAAGTGAGCAGTGTACCCCTTCTATTTTGTGTTGTAACTGAAATCCAAGTATTTGAAAATGTAGAAAAACATCCAAAATGTTTAACTGTGTGATAGAAACTGTGATTAGTTGGGACTCATTTTTAAAATCACAATGATTTGTTTTAGCTAATAGCATGAGTTGTCTGTGATTAATTGATAGCCCTGGATCATACAAAGCAGCAGTAACTTACTGGGACCTGTTCAAGGTTAACAATCTTTGGGTGAAAAATGGCTTTCTGCTCTATGTTCTCCTGCAGGCTTTGACCTTTGTGAAGTTGGGCAGGAGGAGGTGATACTGAAAACTGGGAAACAAGCTAATAGGAGGACCATGCAATTTGCTCTCCAGTCCCTACTGGCACTTTTTGGTAAGGCAACCTGCTGTGACATTATTTTCTCCCATTCCATCTCATGGCGAGAGAATGATGGTGCCTATGGAGGTGGAGGTGGAAGTGTATTAACTGTGAATAGTTTTACTTATCAGTGTCCCGGGATGGGTGGCACTTCCCATACCTGTGAGTTGTCTATCAGAGAGCTCCTCATGTGATTAGACAGGCCCAAAGCAGGAGCAGATAGCTTTCCACTGTTACTCTATGGCTATGTCTTTACTGCACACATTTTGCACAGGAAAGATGCAAATGAGGCTACACGTGGAATATCACCACGCCTCATTTGCATAATTAATGCGCACCCACTTTTTATGCAAAAAAACCCCTCTTTCGCAAGAGCCGTTATTCTGAATTTTTTTTCCAGAAAAACGGCTCTTGAGCAAGATGGGTGTTTTGCGCAAAAAGGAGCCGTGTAGACGACTCCTTTTTGCGCAAAAGCCTCTTGCGCAAAAAGCGGGTGCTCATTAATTATGCAAATGAGGCTCAGTGATGTTCCATGCTTAGCCTCATTTGTATATTTCTTGCGCACAATGGGTGCAGTATAGACATAGCCTATGAGACTCACCACAAATAATGGGAAGGGAGGAAGTTAGAAAATATCGGAGGCATAGGGTGGGGCACTGAACTGGGCACCTCATGTGGGGATGGGAACATTTAATAGGTGAGAAGTGGTGTCACAGAGCTGAGGTAAAAACCCCGTCCAGGGTGGGGTGAAGGTGCCCACCTCGCGCCTGTCACGCATGTATTCACCCCATTTCTCCCCAGCCAATGGTTCTAATCTCACACCAAAGTCTGTCTGTTCCTTCCCTCTAGTCCCGCTCAGAATCTATATCTAGCCTCTATTGGCAGAGCAGCACCATTCAATAGGCCCCACATGTCCCAATGTGGAGGGTCTATTTAAAGGGCAGTAGATAGGGGAAAGATTTATATCTCTCTGGAAGGGGGGGTCCAGGCCCTCCCACTCCACTGGACCCCAGCCCAGGGCCCCACTGTAGCCACTGAGTCAGCGGGGCAATTCCAACTGCAACACTCTGACTCTCCGACAGCAGTTCACTCACCCTGAGGTCGTCACCATCTGTGGGCTGCTCCCAACATCTTCACTCGCTGGTGGCTCTCTGGTTCCCCTCTTCCTCTGGGATCTGGCTGCCTCCACTTGCATCTGGAACCTGGGCAATCTCTAGATGTGCCAGGACTCCCCGCCTGCGTGGTAGCATCTCGGCGTTTGGGCAGTCACTGGGTCTTGCAGGGAGCTGGCCTCGCATGTCCTCTCCCTCCCACTGCCAGCCCCAACGGAGTGGAGCTGCTCTCTTTTATAGCAGCCTGAGCATGCTCAGTAAGATAAAGGGGGTGTGGCCTCCTCAGCTCTTAGGGCTGAGTTAACCCCCTCCTGTTCAGTGCAGGGAAAGTCCTCCCCATCAGAAGTGGACAGAGCTTAGCAGCGGGCCACGTGACCCCTCCTACATGACTCTTTCCTGTGCCACCCTTACTTGAGGAAGGGGGCTGGGGCGGCTTCCCCCAGGGCCTGCCTCTTCCCATCCCTCTTTCCTGCCCTCCTCTGCCTTTTCCCCCAAGATTCCTATCCTGAGTAGTGCAGCTCAGGGCATTAGTAGGGGCCTGGTGCTAGCAGCAGAGGTTGCCCCCACCTCTCTGCACTCACGGGCCGTGGTGGGGAAAGCAGAGCAGCACAGCCCCAAGGTCCTGGACGTCTTGCTCTGCTTTCTGCTGCTGGTAAGTGTGGGGGATGGTCTCATCCTCTCCCCAGAGTATATAGCTGGGAGCATGGGAGTGGAACCAGCTGTGGGGGCAGGTGCTGGGGGGCCTGACCCTTGCTGCAGGTGAAGGTTCTGGTGAGCCCCTGGGCTGCCTCAAGGTTCTGGCCTCTTGCCCCTCCCATAGTATTGGGGGGGCATGTGCCCCCCACATCACCCTGGCATATGGGGTGTGCGAATGAGCAAAAGGAAGTAGGAAGAGATTTTTGTGTCTTTGAAAGAAATGTGGGTGGATTGGTCACGTCTATCTCCAACTTCTACGACGTGTCCTGTCACTAGTTCCCCTGCTACTAAATCTCCTTTAGAGTAAAAACTGGAGGGCATTCAGTTCTCTGCAGAGAGAGGCTGCCAGTCAAGTGAACATGGATCAGGTCCCTTACACAATTCAGGAGCACCACCCATTTTCTAATAGTATGAATTAGTGCTGCACAGCACTGACGTCCTCTGTCCAGACAGGCCCACTGACAGGAGGGGGGCAAAGGGGGCAGTTGCCCCAGGGCACAGTGATTCAGAAGGACCCAGGGCTTCTGGCTGCCACCACTGCTGCTGCAACAGCAGCCAGAGCCCCAAGCCCTTTAAATCACCACCACAGTGCTGTGTGGTGCATGCGGGTGGCTGGCAGGGGGAGGTGCGGTGTGCTCGGGGCAGCACTACGGCTTATTGCTCCTATCCCCATCCATTCTGCCAGAGGCCTTGCCCCGTCTGGGAGCCCAGAGGACCCCCACCCAGAAGCCCGGCAATTTGTTTGCACTGTGTCTGTATAAAACAGAGATCACAGGGGCAATATGGACTGCCGCCTGTCAACATACCTCAGCTATAATCGGGAGAGGTCACTGCAGTCATCAGAGAGCAGTTTAGGATCCATCAACTGGCTTTTCATTCAGCTAAGTCTGCAGGGGGTGCACTGCAGTCGTGTCTTTTTGAGCTGTAGATACTTGTTGACTGGAATCATAACTGAGCACCATCAAATACCAGGTCATTCTTGACCCAAACTGCCTTTGACCCAGTGTCCCAGCAGTGCAAGGGTTGGTATATCTGAAGAGCTGCATGTCCTGGTGCACTCTCACTATTGTCTTGGGTGCCTGTGATGGCTGCAAGATACATTTCTTCTCACTCCCTATTGGCACCAAGTACGAAGGAAACCATAACAATGGCCCCACGGCCACAGCTGCAGAGTGCCCCGCAACGCAGGAAATCTCTTCTAACCCTGCCTGGAGTCAGCACTTTCCTTCCAACCATCTCAAAATCCCTTTCAAATGTTAATGGATTTGATTTCACCGCACACTTCTGCAAGAAAGGGGAAATACAAGCCTCATTCACAGGCAGGGCCATTGAGGCATGGAGGGTGTGTCTGGTCCAAAATGTCCTAACAAGTCAGTGCTGGAGTCAGAAGTACAGTTCAGGTGTGCTGGCACTTGGAGTCATATATGAAGAGACTAAAGGGAGGGCTAAAATAGCAACTCTCCCAAATTCCTTGAGTTTCTGCACACCCCTTTCCTGGGGCGCATTCTGTGTGTTTCTCACACAGCTAGCAACTGTAGAGAGGAAGCAACATTGTATTTGTTAACTAAACTAAACTAGAATATAATAATGACATTGAGTCCATTTGCTGTCATTGTAACAAGTGCTGTTGTTTTTATGTATTTAGATTCTACAGAGCTGCCCAAACGTCTGAGCTTGGACAGTTCCTCGTCACTGGAATCACTGGCTTCTGCTCAGTCCATTTCCAACCCACTACCTCTGAGCTTCCAGAACCCTCCTTTCTCTCCCACCTGTCCCGACAGCATTGCCTCGGATGCCATTTCTGTGTACAGCCTGAGCTCTATTGCTTCATCCATGAGTTTTGTTTCCAAGCCGGAGAGCACAGCAGAAGGTGGAGGGCACAGAGTGCGACAGGACTACGAAAGGCCTAAGAATGTCTATCTGCAAAGGCCCTCTCTGCCACGGAGCCAGCTGTCTCCACAGACAAGTGACGCGGCCAACAAAGACAATGAAGAATATGAAGGATTTTCTATAATCAGCAGTGAGCCTATGACAACCTATCAAGACAATATAAAAGCAGGATTTTCCCCTGACCATAAACAATCCAAAGCTGGTCAATCTGGAGGGATCAAAATGTCTGTCAGTTCCAAAGGGAGCATAAGTACCCCAAACTCCCCTGTTAAAATGACTCTAATTCCCAGTCCAAACTCACCTTTCCAAAAAGTTGGAAAGCTTGCAAGTTCTGATACAGGAGAATCTGACCAGTCTAGCACTGAAACCGACAGCACTGTCAAATCCCAGGAGGAGAACAATCCAAAGCTCAATCCCCAAGAGTTGGCTCAGAAAATTTTGGAGGAGACTCAAAGTCACCTTATTGCTGTTGAACGTCTTCAAAGAAGTGGCAGTCAGATGAGCAAGAACAACTCGGAAGATGGAGACTCTGCAGCAGCTGGTGCATCTGTGTTCAGATCCTCAGAGACCAGCGCATTCAGTAGGCCAATGAGCTCTAGTCAGAGGAGCCATAATTCACCAGTTACAACTAAACCAAAGCCTCCAACAAGGAGCTCATCCCTTCAGAAGGTGAGTTCTGGATATAATAGCCCCACAATATCAGAGATCTCCAACAAAGAGGGCACAAGCCCACACAGTGGGCAGCCTTCTCCAAGTTCTGACTCTCATGGCTTGTTAACAGAACACGCTCACTTTAAACTCAAGTACCCTAGCTCTCCGTACAGCTCTCATATTTCTAAATCTCCAAGAAATGTCTCCCCATGCTCAGGGCATCAGTCTCCCGTGGGCAGCACGCCCTCTCCTGCTCTCTCCTACTCCTCAGCTGGTTCTGCTCGCTCCAGCCCCGCTGATGCCCCAGATCTAGACAAATTAAAAATGGCTGCCATCGATGAAAAGGTGCAGGCCATCCACAACCTGAAAATGTTTTGGCAGAGTACTCCCCAACATTCCACAGGCCCCATGAAGATTTTCCGAGGTGCTCCTGGAACAATGACTTCTAAGAGAGATGTTCTCAGCTTGCTAAACTTATCTCCTCGGCACAGCAAAGACATGCCCCAGATCTAGACAAATTAAAAATGGCTGCCATCGATGAAAAGGTGCAGGCCATCCACAACCTGAAAATGTTTTGGCAGAGTACTCCCCAACATTCCACAGGCCCCATGAAGATTTTCCGAGGTGCTCCTGGAACAATGACTTCTAAGAGAGATGTTCTCAGCTTGCTAAACTTATCTCCTCGGCACAGCAAAGACGAAAATACAGACAAGTTGGAACTTAAGGAGTTGTCTCATCAGCAGCACCTTGCTTCTCCACAAAAGAATCCTCCAAATGGACACAGGCACCCTGAAGCTACCAACGTAGTGACTTCACCCCATTCTCCATCTTCCAATAGCACTCCGGGAACAGTACGCCCCTTGAGGCTGCCCTCTGGAAATGGCTACAAATTTTTGTCACCAGGGAGATTTTTCCCTTCCTCCAAATGTTGAAATGTCTTTTATACAAGCTAATTCAACTTGCAGTCACAGGAAGATTCTTGGTAATTTCTTCTACCCACTTGCCTTGATCAATATAAAGCCACAGGAAGCCATGGTCACACCCATGATGAGCAGCACAGTCATGAGACAAATAACCGGGCACGGTGCTTTACAGTGTATGACAAGGGCCTTATGCAAATAGGTTTCAGTTCCTCTTGTCAGTACTTTGGCCAGACGCAACTAATGACAGTTTTCTGCAGTGGTCAGACCTAATTCTGTGCAGCAGCAAGTCCAGTTAGTCCACGTGTTTGATAACAAAATGTCAGCCTTGAAACCACTTACGTGTATTTCTTACCCTGAAAGGATGTTTACAGTTGGGATTTTTATACAGAATTTATATATATCCTGGGACTGGGGAAGGAGGCAAGACGAGGCAAAGCTTCCATTTTATGCCACAAGGATAATGCACATAATGTTCTGTCCAGAGAAATACAAGCCATTGCTTTTAAGCTTCTGGGACTGCACACAGGGAGTAGTAACAATGGAACTGTAGGAACAATGGAACAATTGCTCTTAGCCAAACACAGACATATATGAGAAAATGCTGGTAATGGACAGCTCCTTGGCAATATTGTATTGATGATTACCTCACATCCTTCTGATGCTGTGTTGGTGACATGCTGATAAGATAGAAGCCACTTTTTCTGAAGAAATACCTTTTAGGTTGAAATTTCCATGGATTGGTGTGAGCCCAAGAGAACATTTTGATAAATAATGAAGAAAATCCCTTATCTGAGTAGCAGGAGAATGACACATACAAGTTCTGGTTTTATAAAGTGATAACTTCATTGCTCATAATTTTACTAGGGTAAGATTTTTGTATCAGCAGGTAACTGGTCAGCACAGAACTTTTCTGTTTACCTCTGCAAATGTGAGGGATACACAGTGAATATGAGAAAGGGGTTTGCAGTGTGCTGCCTCTCAGCATGCAGACATTTCACAGATGTGTCATCTGGTGATGATGTGTTCAAGGAGCTCTCTCCTCTATTACTGCTAGACCTTGCCAAGCCTCCTCCCAGGGAGAAGCCCACAATCTCTTTGCCCATTATCTTGCTTTCAGGGCCAATATATGCAAATTAAACAGGTCTGTGTGATTGTGCAAACAGACCACACTTGGGATGGAAAGTGCAAACTGTACATTAAAATCTATGCATCTGTGTCTGTTAACCTCTTCTTCCTGGGCCAAGTGGGAAAGCCAGGAGCATTCCTG